TCAACGGAGAAGGAAAGAGAATAACTGAACATGAAGAAAGAAAACACAAAAGTTAAGAACGGCGTTGTAAATTGAAAGAGAGACCGCCAGGAAAACAAACAGAGAAAAGGCAAAGACAAGAATTATAATCAGTGAGGATAGAAAGAGCAACGAAAAGAACGGTGGGCAGAATGGGGTGGAGCACGTCAAGATTAGATGCTTGATTAAATAATGGGTAAAGAAAATCGTAAGTCTAAGAGGGGGGCAATAAAAAAAGTTCCCTTATAGTGAAAAAAAAAAGGATTAAGATGATGAAGGAATGATAGTCAAATTTAGGTGAAATCAAGAGGACAAATATAGCAAAGTAAGAAAGAGTGAGAAGGTGAGATTTAGAAAAGGGAGAAAAAAAACCCATAAAAAAGAAAAAGAGAGAGAGAGAGAGAGAGAGAGAGAAAGAATGAAGAAGACAAATGTAACGGAAAAGAAAGAAAGAAAGAAAGAAAGATAGAAAGGGAGAAAGAAAGAATGAAGAAGACAAATGTAAGGGAAAAGAAAAAAAGAAAAAAGAATGAAGAAGACATATGTAAGGGAAAAGAAAGAAAGAAAAAAGAATGGAGAAGACATATGTAAGGGAAAAGAAAGAAAGAAAAAAGAATGAAGAAGACATATGAAAGGGAAAAGAAAGAAAGAAAAAAGAAAGAAAGAAAGAATGAAGAAGACAAATGTAAGGGAAAAGAAAGGAAGAAAAAAGAAAGAAAGATAAATGAAGAAGACAACTGTAAGGGAAAAGAAAGAAAGAAAGAAAGAAAGAAAGAAAGAAAGAAAGAAGAATGAAGAAGACAACTGTAAGGGAAAAGAAAGAAAAAAATGAAGAAGACAAACGCAATGGAAAAGAAAGAAAGAAAAAAGAAAGAAAGAAAGAAAAAAGAATGAAGAAGACAAATGTAAGGGAAAAGAAAGAAAAAAAGAAAGAAAGAAATAAATAAAGAAAGAAGGAAGAATGAAGAATGAAGAAGACAAATGTGAGGGAAAAGAAAGAAAGAAAAGAATGAAGAAGACAAACGTAAGAGAAAAGAAAGAAAGAAAAAGGAAAGAAAGGAAGAAAGAAAGAAGGAAGAATGAAGAAGACAAATGTAAGGGAAAAGAAGGAAAGAAAAAAGAAAGAAAACAGAATGAAGAGGAGATATGTAAGGGAAAAGAAAGAAAGAAAAAAGAATGGAGATGACATATGTCAGGGAAAAGAAAGAAAGTAAAAAAGAAAGAAAGAAAGAAAGAATGAAGAAGACAAATGTAAGGGAAAAGAAAGAAAGGAAAAAGAATGAAGAAGACAAATGTGAGGGAAAAGAAAAGAAAGAAAGAAAGAAAGAAAGAAAGAAAGAAAGAAAGGTGAATGAAGAAGACAACTGTAAGGGAAAGGAAAGAAAAAATGAAGAAGACAAACGGAAGGGAAAAGAAAGAAAGAAAGAAAGAAAGAAAGAAAGAAAGAAGAATGAAGAAAACAACTGTAAGGGAAAAGAAGGGAAAAAGAATGAAGAAGAGAAATGTAAGGGAAAAGAAAGAAAGAAAGAATGAAGAAGAAAAATGTAATAGAAAAGAAAGAAAGAAAGAAAAAAGAAAGTAAAAAGAATGAAGAAGAAAAATGTAAGGGAAAAGAAAAAAAGAAGAAAGAATGAAGAAGACATATAATGGAAAAGAAAGAAAAAGAAAGAAAAAAGAAAGAAAGAATGAAGAAGACGAATATCAGGGAAAAGAAAGAAAGAAAGAAAGAAAGAAAGAAATAAAGAAAGAATGAAGAAGAAGACAAATGTAAGGGAAAAGAAAGAAAGAAAGAAAGAAAGAAAGAAAAAAGAATGAAAAAGAGAAATGGAAGGGAAAAGAATGAAAGAAAAAAGAAAGAAAGAAAGAAAGAAAGAAAAAAGAATGAAGACATATGTAAGGGAAAAGAAAGAAAGAAGAAAGAAAGAAAGAAAGAAAGAAGAATGAAGAAGACAAATGTAAGGGAAATAAAAAGAAAGAAAAAAGAATGAAGGAGACATATGTAAGGGAAAAGAAAGAAAGAAAGAAAGAAAGAAAGAAAGAATGAAAGAAAGAAAGAAAAAAAAGAATGAAAAAGAGAAATGGAAGGGAAAAGAATGAAAGAAAAAAGAAAGAAAGAAAGAATGAAGACATAGGTAAGGGAAAAGAAAGAAAAAAGAAGGAAGAAAGAATGAAGAAGGCAAATGTAAGGGAAAAGAAAGAAAGAAAAAAGAATGAAGGAGACATATGTAAGGGAAAAGAAAGAAAGACAGAAAGAAAGAAAGAAAGAAAAAAGAATGAAGAAGACAAATGTAAGGGGAAAGAAAAAAGAAAGAAAGAAAGAAAGAAAAAAGAATGAAGAAGACAAATGTAAGGGGAAAGAAAAAAGAAAGAAAGAAAGAACGAAAGAAAGAAAGAAAAAGAATGAAGAAGACATATGTAAGGGAAAAGAAAGAAAGAAGAAAGAATGAAGAAGACATATAATGGAAAAGAAAGAAAAAGAAAGAAAAAAGAAAGAAAGAATGAAGAAGACGAATGTCAGGGAAAAGAAAGAAAGAAAGAAAGAAAGAAAGAAAGAAAAAAGAAAGAAAGAAAGAAAGAATGAAGAAGACAAATGTAAGGGAAAAAGAAAGAAAGAAAGAAAGAAAGAAAGAAAGAAAGAAAGAATAAAGAAGAAGACAAATGTAAGGGAAAAGAAAGAAAGAAAAAAGAATGAAGGAGACATATGTAAGGGAAAAGAAAGAAAGAAAGAAAGAAAGAAAAAAGAATGAAGAAGACAAATGTAAGGGGAAAGAAAAAAGAAAGAAAGAAAGAAAGAAAGAAAAAAGAATGAAGAAGACATATGTAAGGGAAAAGAAAGAAAGAAAAAAGAAAGAAAGAAAGAAAGAAAGAAAGAAAGAAAGGGTCGAAATAACGAAAATCATTTTAGAGGCGAAGGCTGGAGGACACAACCGAAATATTGTGATAATAAAACAAAGATGAGGATATTCGTCCGAAGGAAAACAAGGTGAATGATGATAACACCTCATCCCAGATATTCAGATAGAAAAAAAATGAAAAACTCATCTTCTAATTGATGACAACAACAAAGATGGGGATATTAGTCTGAATATGGTCAATAATGATAATTCCTCATCCCAGAAATTCAGATAGAAAATAACGTATCTTCTTTTATATAATAATTGATAAGAACAACAAAAATGGGAATATTAATTCGAATGAAAATAAGGTGAATTATGATAACTTCTCATCCCAGAAATTCAGATAGAGAATATCGATTATAATATTTTAAAATAATTTGCATCACTCGGTGTCAGTGAAAAACACAAATATTTAGATTTGTAATAAATCATTGATTGCAAATGTTTTCAAAGATGTAAATGTTCCTACTAAACCATGCATTCGTCGGCATTATAATGAAACACAACTTACTTGACATCTCTGTGACTAAACACAACTTATTGACATCTCGGTGACTAAACCCAACGTACTTGACATCTCGGTGACTAAACACAACGTACTTGACATCTCGGTGACTAAACACAACGTACTTGACATCTCGGTGACTAAACCCAACGTACTTGACATCTCTGTGACTAAACACAACTTACTTGACATCTCGGTGACTAAACCCAGCGTACTTGACATCTCGGTGACTAAACACAACTTACTTAACATCTCGGTGACTAAAGCCAACGTATTTGACATCTCCGTGACTAAATCGACCCATCCTCGCCGTTTTAGCTAAATATAGATTTGGATGATGAACTACTGGTCCAGTAGGGATGAAGACAAGAACTTCAAAACTGCAATGGAACTAACGCCCTCAATAAAAACAAAATGTCCCCCAAAATTTGATATCATTTCGCAGGCCAATAATTTTGGCAATTCTTGTTGAAATAACCTCAAATTTTCACAGAATGTATAGATACAGATCAAGATTTTATATTGGCTGGAAGAGGACAGTACGTGCTTATCTCAATGAGAATCTACCACAGAGATGGATCGGGCGCGGTGGAGATGAAGACTGTTTTCTGATGTAATGGCCGCCGTCTGATTTCTTTTTATCGGGTTATGGGAAGGGACTGGTCTGTGTCCCTACTCTCTTCCTGCTAGCATTGATGATCTCAAGCTGGGAATCACTTCCGCACTGGATAATGTTACTGGAGACATGCTACAACGTGTTTGGCAAGAGCTTAACTACCCACTTGACGTGTGCCGTGTCACAGGCGGTGTACATATTGAACACGTATGAAATCGATCCCATAATAAACTTATGATGTTCAACACGTAAACTGTTCATTTTCATTGAGCTAGACTTAGTTTTTATGACAATTGCTTTTAAAATGATATCAAATTTTTGGGGACACCCTGTATATTAATAGATAGAGACTGTAATAGCTGAGTTGACACACACCGTCTGTGAGCCCTTAGAGTTTACGATATAATTTTTTTTACCAACAGTCATTCAGAGAATATTCATTTAAAAAGGCCATTTTTTGACACGTGTTTAATTATTATTATTACATAATTTAATGGTAGATCAAACGTATTTTTCCTCAATCATTTCACCCCAAGCAAGGCAATAAAGTCACTAAGACGTAAGATGTTACTGAGTATTACAGAATATAGGAAAAACACTATTAAGGACAAGGAACAATAAAAGGATTAAGTAGACAGAAGATAACAATTGACATTGCATTTAATCATTTCCTCCCAATCAAGGCAATAAATCTACTAAGACGTAAGTGAGTTACCGAGTGTGAAAGAATATGAGAAAAAGAAATACACTATTAAGGAGAGAGAACAATAAAAGAAGAGGAATTAAGAAGACAGAAGATAACGATTGACATTACATTTAATCATTTCATCCCAAGCAAGGCAATAAATCTACTAAGACGCAATGTGTCACTGAGTGTGAAAGAAATTGAGAAAAAGAAAAACACTATTATGAGAGAGAACAATAAAAGAAGAGGAATTAAGAAGACAGAAGATAACGATTGACATTGCATTTAATCATTTTATTCCAAGCAAGGCAATAAATCTACTAAGACGCAATGAGTTACTGAGTGTGAAAGAATATGAGAAAAAGAAAAACACTATTAAGGAGAGAGAACAATAAAAGAAGAGGAATTAAGAAGACAGAAGATAACGATTGACATTTCATTTAATCATTTTATTCCAAGCAAGGCAATAAATCTACTAAGACGCAATGTGTCACTGAGTGTGAAAGAATATTAGAAAAAGAAAAACACTATTAAGGAGAGAGAACAATAAAAGAAGATTAATTAAGAAGACAGAAGATAACGATTGACATTATATTTAATCATTTCATCTCAAGCAAGGCAATAAATCTACTAAGACGCAATGTGTCACTGAGTGTGAAAGAAATTGAGAAAAAGAAAAACACTATTATGAGAGAGAACAATAAAAGAAGAGGAATTAAGAAGACAGAAGATAACGATTGACATTGCATTTAATCATTTTATTCCAAGCAAGGCAATAAATCTACTAAGACGCAATGAGTTACTGAGTGTGAAAGAATATGAGAAAAAGAAAAACACTATTATGAGATAGAACAATAAAAGAAGAGGAATTAAGAAGACAGAAGATAACGATTGACATTGCATTTAATCATTTTATTCCAAGCAAGGCAATAAATCTACTAAGACGCAATGAGTTACTGAGTGTGAAAGAATATGAGAAAAAAGAAAACACTATTAAGGAGAGAGAACAATAAAAGAAGAGGAATTAAGAAGACAGAAGGTAACGATTGACATTGCATTTAATCATTTTATTCCAAGCAAGGCAATAAATCTACTAAGACGCAATGAGTTACTGAGTGTGAAAGAATATGAGAAAAAGAAAACACTATTATGAGAGAGAACAATAAAAAGAAGAGGAATTAAGAAGACAGAAGATAACGATTGACATTGCATTTAATCATTTTATTCCAAGCAAGGCAATAAATCTACTAAGACGCAATGAGTTACTGAGTGTGAAAGAATATGAGAAAAAGAAAAACACTATTATGAGAGAGAACAATAAAAGAAGAGGAATTAAGAAGACAGAAGATAACGATTGACATTGCATTTAATCATTTTATTCCAAGCAAGGCAATAAATCTACTAAGACGCAATGAGTTACTGAGTGTGAAAGAATATGAGAAAAAGAAAAACACTATTAAGGAGAGAGAACAATAAAAGAAGAGGAATTAAGAAGACAGAAGATAACGATTGACATTTCATTTAATCATTTTATTCCAAGCAAGGCAATAAATCTACTAAGACGCAATGTGTCACTGAGTGTGAAAGAATATTAGAAAAAGAAATTAAGGAGAAAGAACAATAAAAGAAGAAGAATTAAGAAGACGGAAGATAACAAGTGGCATTGCATTTATATATATATATATATATATATATATATATATATATATATATATATATATATATATATATATACGGTAATCTTCCGACCAATTAAACAGACTACCTTGAGTAATAATGTCTTAAACTTATTCAAAGTCACACATTCGCTTGATCCGTACAGCCCTTGCACTTTTTGAAAGTCCCGTTTAAGGTTCAGTATCAGTTTTCCTCGCGTTGCGTATATTTTTTTTTAAATATCGAATGGTTGGATTTGTTTCCACGCCGACTTTACTTTAGAATGACAATCTTTTTTAAATAATGTAATTAATATGTAAATTAGCATATAGATCATTTTTTAATTTCAAAAATTACTTTTTATTTTTTATCTCAATTTGTTTTATTCCGATGCTGGGCCATAACCAGTGTACCTCGGGTCAGTGAAAGGTGTGTTTCTTTAGATATTTCTATTTAATTAAACAAAACCAACTATTAACAACAACAATAACAACAACAACAAAAATAAATAAACAAATAATTGAAGAAAGCTCTTCGCAGTCTATGGACTTTGCTTGTCATAACTATTTTCTTTTTTTAGATTTTCTGGGGTGATGTTGCATCAGACATTCTGTTGATTTGCTGTTGAGTTCCTTTCTTCATCAGGCCCAAAGCTCCAGCCAAAAAATTTCGATGAGTTGTTTTTGTTACTTGTCATGTCAATCAGGGTGTAAACATTTTGTTTCCTGTCTTTGATAATAATGTCTGCGCTATTTGCTTGTATTGTTACATCTCGATCAAATAGGATGGTAATCTATGTTCCTAAACTACAAGTTCACGATGATAATCACACCAGTTTGCAGCTGTTTATTATTATTATTATTATTATTATTATTATTGTCTTTCTTCACCTTCTTCTTCCTTGGCTATCTTAGTCTTCTTCATCTTCATTTTCTTTTTTTCTTCTCACTATAATAATAATAATAATAATAATAATAATAATAATAATAATTATTATTATTATTGTCATTATTATTATTATTATTGCCCTTCTTCGGCGTCTTCTACTTGGCTATCTTCGTCTTCTCCTTCTACATCCCCTTTTAATTCTCACTATTCTTGTTAATTTTATTTTCTTTGATTTCTGGTGTTTACACATTTCTTTCTGGGTCCCGCCTAGGGACCTAAGGATAGAAATGGCATCATGACACTTTCCACTGACAAAAAAAAAAAAAAAAAATACATAGATAAAGCCCTTCGTAAAGTGTGGGCTGCACTTGTCAGAACAATTTTTTGTATCTCCTTGAGGCATGGACTTCCAGGAATCCCTTCAATTAGTCTACTGCAATCTTTTCCAGCCAGTCTTAGGGCTCCAACTACAACAGGGATTGTTGATGTTCCCATATGCCACATTTTCGAGATTTCTATTTGAAGGTCCTTGTATTTTGACAGCTTTTTGAATATCTTCAAAGATACATTGCAGTCAGCAGGGACTGCCATATCAATAAGATTATTATTATTATTATTATTATTATTATTATTATTATTATTATTATTCGGCT